GAAACCCAGACCACGTACCGCACTACCTGCATCGGCTCAACGGATTCAATCCCACCCTTGCCTTTGCGAATGCATGTCTGCCCAGTCCCCACGTCCGATCAGCGGATTCCGCCGTGCCAATGGATGCCTGGTGATGCCGGTTCCTTGGGGAAGGTACCGGCTTGCGGACCTCTCGATTCTAGACCACGTACCACCATATCCGCATGGGCTTGCGCTCACGGGCCCCCCGCCTGATCGGCCGATTCCTTCCCACACCGTCGCGTTTGCCAGATCATCTTTCGAAACCTCACAGGCATGTCTGCCCACTGGGTTCCTTGGAGAGCGGTCGTAGCATACGTCAACACAACCTGTCCTATCCACATGGGCTTGTGTTCACAGCCCGGCCGTCTGATCAGCGGATTTCTCTCCACCCTTGCCTTTGCGATAGCTGTTCCCAAACATGTACGCTCCTATGCACACACTTGCACTCAGAGTCGTGTCTGCCCAGCGGGTTCCCTGCATGGGAGGCCAGTACTATACTAGCCTACGCAACCACGTACCTTCCCACCCGTGCCTTTGCGAAATCTGCGCCACACGTCGCTTCTACGCACGCACTGGCACTCACACAGCCGTGTCTGCCCTGTGGGTTCCTTGGGAAGCCAGTACTATGCTATCTAGCCCAACACTCCCACCCCCACTTCGTGATGAGAGCTGTGTCCTTCCCACCCATGCCTTTGCGAGACCTGACCGGTGCCCACGCACTTTACTGCCGTGCCGTGTCTGCTGATGCCTCGCAAATAAGCCACTGTGGTTTACCGGAAACCCAGACCACGTACCGCACTACCTGCATCGGCTCAACGGATTCAATCCCACCCTTGCCTTTGCGAAGGCATGTCTGCCCAGTGGGTTCTTTGGAACTTGGGAGGCCGTGAGTAGCATGTACGGCCACACAAACGTCAACACAGACTGGCGTATCACACGGGCTCGTGTTCACAAGTCCCCACGTCCGATCAGCGGATTCCGCCGTGCCAATGGATGCCTGGTGATGCCGGTTCCTGGAAGGTACCGGTTTGCGGGACTTTTAGATTCTAGACCACGTACCACCATATCCGCATGGGCTTGCGCTCGCCTGATCGGCCGATTCCTTCCCACACCGTCGCGTTTGCCAAATCATCTTTAACGAAACCTCACAGGCGTGTCTGCCCACTGGGTTCCTTGGAGAGCGGTCGTAGCATACGTCAACACAACCTGTCCTATCCCCGGCCGTCTGAGCAGCGGATTTCTCTCCACCCTTGCCTTTGCGAAAGCTGTCCCCAAACATGTACGCTCCTATGCACACACTTGCACTCAGAGTCGTGTCTGCCCAGTTCCTTGCATGGGAGGCCAGTACTATATACTAGCATACGCAACCACGTACCGCCATACGCAGGTGGGCTTGCACCAACAGCCCGCCAGTCTGATCACAGTGGATTCCTTCCCACCCGTGCCTTTGCGAAATCTGCGCCACACGTCGCTTCTATGCACGCACTGGCACTCACAGCCGTGTCTGCCCCATGGGTTTCTTCGGGAAGCCAACACTAGGCTAACTAGCCCCAACACTCCCACCCCCACTTCGTGATGAGAGCGGCGTCCTTCCCACCCTTGCCTTTGCGAGACCTGACCGGTGCTCACGCACTTTACTGCCGTGCCGTGCCTGCTGATGCCTCGCAAATAAGCCACTGTGGTTTGCCGGAAACTCAGACCACGTACCGCACTACCTGCATCGGCTCAACGGATTCAATCCCACCCTTGCCTTTGCGAAGGCATGTCTGCCCAGTGGGTTCTTTGGAACTTGGGAGGCCGTGAGTAGCATGTACGGCCACACGAACGTCAACACAGACTGGCATATCACACGGGCTCGTGTTCACAAGTCCCCACGTCCGATCAGCGGATTCCGCCGTGCCAACGGATGCCTGGTGATGCCGGTTCCTTGCGGAAAGTACCGGTTTGCGGGACTTTTAGATTCTAGACCACGTACCACCATATCCGCATGGGCTTGCGCTCACGGGCCCTCCGCCTGATCGGCCGATTCCTTCCCACACCGTCGCGTTTGCCAGATCATCAACATGTACGCTCCTATGCACACACCTGCACTCAGAGTCGTGTCTGCCCAGTGGGTTCCTTGCACGGGAGGCCAGTACTATACTAGCATACGCAACCACGTACCGCCATACCCAGGTGGGCTTGCACCGACAGCCCGCCAGTCTCATCAGTGGATTCCTTCCCACCCGCGCCTTTGCGAAGTCTGCGCCACACGTCGCTTCTACGCACGCACTGGCACTCACAGCCGTGTCTGCCCCGTGGGTTGCTTGGGAAGCCAGTACTAGGCTAACTAGCCCAACACTCCCACCCCCACTTCGTGATGAGAGCGGTGTCCTTCCCACCCTTGCCTTTGCGAGACCGGGCATAGCATTGGACTGGCAGAGACCCTTCCTAGGCCCCCTCCACGCCTGGTGCGCGGCTATCCAGGGGAAGACGGGATACCTCATCATACCCACGATGCTGAGGGTCCTGATGCGATGGCTAGCCGACAAGCTCGACCAGGGGGAGAGGCTTCAACGTCCTGTGACTCTCTACGCTGGGCTACCACCACTGAGCTTTTTCACTGATGCTAAAGCTGAGTCCGATAGGGCCTGGATAGGGGGCTTCCTGGAGATATCCGAAGGGAAGCCGGGACCCTGGTTTTCACTCGAAGTGGATAAGGCCTGGGCTCCCTGGGCCTTCTCGAAGGGGGATCCCAAGAAAGTGATAGCTGCGCTAGAACTGCTAGCGACCCTCGTGGGGATACGTCTCTGGGTCCCCGAGGGCGAGGATAGAAAGACCTCGCGAGTGGCCATCCGCGGATACACGGACTCACGCACTTTACTGCGGTGCCGTGTCTGCTGATGCCTCGGGAAGCCACTGTGTGGTTTACCGGAAACCCAGACCATGTACCGCACTACCTGCATCGGCTCAACGGATTCAACCCCACCCTTGCCTTTGCGAATGCATGTCTGCCCAATGGGTTCTTTGGAACTTGGGAGGCCGTTAGTAGCATATGGTCACACAAACGTCAACACAGACAGACTGGCGTATCACACGGGCTCGTGTTCACAAGTCCCCACGTCCGATCCTCGGATTCCGCCGTGCCAATGGATGCCTGGTGATGCCGGTTCCTTGGGGAAGGTACCGGTTTGCGGAACCTCTAGATTCTAGACCACGTACCACCATATCCGCATGGGCTTGCGCTCACGGGCCCCCCGCCTGATCTGCCGATTCCTTCCCACAACGTCGCGTTTGCCAAATCATCTTTAACGAAACCTCACAGGCGTGTCTGCCCACTGGGTTCCTTGCAGAGCGGTTGTAGCATACGTCAACACAACCTGTCCTATCCACATGGGCTTGTGTTCACAGCCCGGCTTCTGACCAGCGGATTTCTCTCCACCCTTGCCTTTGCGAAAGCTGTACCCAAACATGTACGCTCCTATGCACACACTTGCACTCAGAGTCGTGTCTGCCCAGTGGGTTCCTTGCATGGGAGGCCAGTACTATACTAGCACACGCAACCACGTACCGCCAAACCCAGGTGGGCTTGCAACGACAGCCCGCCCGTCTCATCAGTGGATTCCTTCCCACCCGTGCCTTTGCGAAATCTGCGCCACACGTCGCTTCTATGCACGCACTGGCACCCACAGCCGTGTCTGCCCCGTGGGTTCCTTGGGAAGCCAGAACTGGGCTAACTAGCCCCAATACTCCCACCCCCACTTCGTGATGCGAGCGGTGTCCTCCCCACCCTTGTCTTTGCGAGACCTCCCGGTGCTCACGCACTTTACTGCCGTGCCGTGTCTGCTGATGCCTCGGGAAGCCACTGTGGTTTACCGGAAACCCAGACCACCTACCGCACTACCTGCATCGGCTCAACGGATTCAATCCCATTCTTGCCTTTGCGATGCATGTCTGCCCAATGGGTTCTTTGGAACTTGGGAGGCCGTTAGTAGCATATGGTCACACAAACGTCAACACAGACAGACTGGCGTATCACACGGGCTCGTGTTCACAAGTCCCCACGTCCGATCAGCGGATTCCGCCGTGCCAATGGATGCCTGGTCATGCCGGTTCCTTGGGGAAGGTACCGGTTTGCGGGACTTCTAGATTCTAGACCACGTACCACCATATTCGCATGGGCTTGCGCTCACCAGTTCATCTTTAACGAAACCTCACACGCGTGTCTGCCCACTGGGTTCCTTGTGGAGAGCGGTCGTAGCATACGTCAACACAACCTGTCCTATCCACATGGGCTTGTGTTCACAGCCCGGCCGTCTGATCAGCGGATTTCTCTCCACCCTTGCCTTTGCGAAAGCTGTACCCAAACATGTACGCGCCTATGCACACACTTGCACTCAGAGTCGTGTCTGCCCAGTGGGTTCCTTGCATGGGAGGCCAGTACTATATACTAGCATACGCAACCACGTACCGCCATACGCAGGTGGGCTTGCACCAACAGCCCGCCAGTCTGATCACAGTGGATTCCTTCCCACCCGTGCCTTTGCGAAATCTGCGCCACACGTCGCTTCTATGCACGCACTGGCACTCACAGCCGTGTCTGCCCCGTGGAAGCCAGAACTGGGCTAACTAGCCCCAATACTCCCACCCCCACTTCGTGATGCGAGCGGTGTCCTCCCCACCCTTGTCTTTGCGAGACCTCCCGGTGCTCACGCACTTTACTGCCGTGCCGTGTCTGCTGATGCCTCGGGAAGCCACTGTGGTTTACCGGAAACCCAGACCACCTACCGCACTACCTGCATCGGCTCAACGGATTCAATCCCACCCTTGCCTTTGCGAATGCATGTCTGCCCAGTCCCCACGTCCGATCAGCGGATTCCGCCGTGCCAATGGATGCCTGGTGATGCCGGTTCCTTGGGGAAGGTACCGGTTTGCGGACCTCAAGATTCTAGACCACGTACCACCATATCCGCATGGGCTTGCGCTCACGGGCCCCCCGCCTGATCGGCCGATTCCTTCCCACACCGTCGCGTTTGCCAGATCATCTTTCGAAACCTCACAGGCATGTCTGCCCACTGGGTTCCTTGGAGAGCGGTCGTAGCATACGTCAACACAACCTGTCCTATCCACATGGGCTTGTGTTCACAGCCCGGCCGTCTGATCAGCGGATTTCTCTCCACCCTTGCCTTTGCGATAGCTGTTCCCAAACATGTACGCTCCTATGCACACACTTGCACTCAGAGTCGTGTCTGCCCAGCGGGTTCCTTGCATGGGAGGCCAGTACTATACTATAGCCTACGCAACCACGTACTTTCCCACCCGTGCCTTTGCGAAATCTGCGCCACACGTCGCTTCTACGCACGCACTGGCACAGCCGTGTCTGCCCCGTGGGTTCCTTGGGAAGCCAGTACTATGCTATCTAGCCCAACACTCCCACCCCCACTTCGTGATGAGAGCTGTGTCCTTCCCACCCATGCCTTTGCGAGACCTGACCGGTGCCCACGCACTTTACTGCCGTGCCGTGTCTGCTGATGCCTCGCAAATAAGCCACTGTGGTTTACCGGAAACCCAGACCACGTACCGCACTACCTGCATCGGCTCAACGGATTCAATCCCACCCTTGCCTTTGCGAAGGCATGTCTGCCCAGTGGGTTCTTTGGAACTTGGGAGGCCGTGAGTAGCATGTACGGCCACACAAACGTCAACACAGACTGGCGTATCACACGGGCTCGTGTTCACAAGTCCCCACGTCCGATCAGCCGATTCCGCCGTGCCAATGGATGCCTGGTGATGCCGGTTCCTGGAAGGTACCGGTTTGCGGGACTTTTAGATTCTAGACCACGTACCACCATATCCGCATGGGCTTGCGCTCGCCTGATCGGCCGATTCCTTCCCACACCGTCGCGTTTGCCAGATCATCTTTAACGAAACCTCACAGGCGTGTCTGCCCACTGGGTTCCTTGGAGAGCGGTCGTAGCATACGTCAACACAACCTGTCCTATCCCCGGCCGTCTGAGCAGCGGATTTCTCTCCACCCTTGCCTTTGCGAAAGCTGTCCCCAAACATGTACGCTCCTATGCACACACTTGCACTCAGAGTCGTGTCTGCCCAGTTCCTTGCATGGGAGGCCAGTACTATATACTAGCATACGCAACCACGTACCGCCATATACCCAGGTGGGCTTGCACCGACAGCCCGCCCGTCTCATCAGCGGATTCCTTCCCACCCGTGCCTTTGCGAAATCTGCTCCACACGTCGCTTCTATGCACGCACTGCCCCAACACTCCCACCCCCACTTCGTGATGAGAGCGGCGTCCTTCCCACCCTTGCCTTTGCGAGACCTGACCGGTGCTCACGCACTTTACTGCCGTGCCGTGCCTGCTGATGCCTCGCAAATAAGCCACTGTGGTTTGCCGGAAACTCAGACCACGTACCGCACTACCTGCATCGGCTCAACGGATTCAATCCCACCCTTGCCTTTGCGAAGGCATGTCTGCCCAGTGGGTTCTTTGGAACTTGGGAGGCCGTTAGTAGCATACGGCCACACAAACGTCAACACAGACTGGCATATCACACGGGCTCGTGTTCACAAGTCCCCACGTCCGATCAGCGGATTCCGCCGTGCCAATGGATGCCTGGTGATGCCGGTTCCTTGCGGAAAGTACCGGTTTGCGGGACTTTTAGATTCTAGACCACGTATACCACCATATCCGCATGGGCTTGCGCTCACGGGCCCTCCGCCTGATCGGGCCGATTCCTTCCCACACCGTCGCGTTTGCCAGATCATCAACATGTACGCTCCTATGCACACACCTGCACTCAGAGTCGTGTCTGCCCAGTGGGTTCCTTGCATGGGAGGCCAGTACTATACTAGCATACGCAACCACGTACCGCCATACCCAGGTGTTGCACCGACAGCCCGCCAGTCTCATCAGTGGATTCCTTCCCACCCGTGCCTTTGCGAAATCTGCGCCACACGTCGCTTCTACGCACGCACTGGCACTCACAGCCGTGTCTGCCCCGTGGGTTGCTTGGGAAGCCAGTACTAGGCTAACTAGCCCAACACTCCCACCCCCACTTCGTGATGAGAGCGGTGTCCTTCCCACCCTTGCCTTTGCGAGACCTGACCGGTGCCCACGCACTTTACTGCCGTGCCGTGTCTGCTGATGCCTCGCAAATAAGCCACTGTGGTTTACCGGAAACCCAGACCACGTACCGCACTACCTGCATCGGCTCAACGGATTCGCCTTTGCGAAGGCATGTCTGCCCAGTGGGTTCTTTGGAATTTGGGAGGCCGTGAATAGCATACGGCCACACAAACGTCAACACAGACTGGCGTATCACACGGGCTCGTGTTCACAAGTCCCCAGGTGGGATCAGCCGATTCCGCCGTGCCAATGGATGCCTGGTGATGCCGGTTCCTGGAAGGTACCGGTTTGCGGGACTTTTAGATTCTAGACCACGTACCACCATATCCGCATGGGCTTGCGCTCGCCTGATCGGCCGATTCCTTCCCACACCGTCGCGTTTGCCAGATCATCTTTAACGAAACCTCACAGGCGTGTCTGCCCACTGGGTTCCTTGGAGAGCGGTCGTAGCATACGTCAACACAACCTGTCCTATCCCCGGCCGTCTGAGCAGCGGATTTCTCTCCACCCTTGCCTTTGCGAAAGCTGTCCCCAAACATGTACGCTCCTATGCACACACTTGCACTCAGAGTCGTGTCTGCCCAGTTCCTTGCATGGGAGGCCAGTACTATATACTAGCATACGCAACCACGTACCGCCATATACCCAGGTGGGCTTGCACCGACAGCCCGCCCGTCTCATCAGCGGATTCCTTCCCACCCGTGCCTTTGCGAAATCTGCTCCACACGTCGCTTCTATGCACGCACTGCCCCAACACTCCCACCCCCACTTCGTGATGAGAGCGGCGTCCTTCCCACCCTTGCCTTTGCGAGACCTGACCGGTGCTCACGCACTTTACTGCCGTGCCGTGCCTGCTGATGCCTCGCAAATAAGCCACTGTGGTTTGCCGGAAACTCAGACCACGTACCGCACTACCTGCATCGGCTCAACGGATTCAATCCCACCCTTGCCTTTGCGAAGGCATGTCTGCCCAGTGGGTTCTTTGGAACTTGGGAGGCCGTGAATAGCATACGGCCACACAAACGTCAACACAGACTGGCATATCACACGGGCTCGTGTTCACAAGTCCCCACGTCCGATCAGCGGATTCCGCCGTGCCAATGGATGCCTGGTGATGCCGGTTCCTTGCGGAAAGTACCGGTTTGCGGGACTTTTGGATTCTAGACCACGTATACCACCATATCCGCATGGGCTTGCGCTCACGGGCCCTCCGCCTGATCGGGCCGATTCCTTCCCACACCGTCGCGTTTGCCAGATCATCAACATGTACGCTCCTATGCACACACCTGCACTCAGAGTCGTGTCTGCCCAGTGGGTTCCTTGCATGGGAGGCCAGTACTATACTAGCATACGCAACCACGTACCGCCATACCCAGGTGTTGCACCGACAGCCCGCCAGTCTCATCAGTGGATTCCTTCCCACCCGTGCCTTTGCGAAATCTGCGCCACACGTCGCTTCTACGCACGCACTGGCACTCACAGCCGTGTCTGCCCCGTGGGTTGCTTGGGAAGCCAGTACTAGGCTAACTAGCCCAACACTCCCACCCCCACTTCGTGATGAGAGCGGTGTCCTTCCCACCCTTGCCTTTGCGAGACCTGACCGGTGCCCACGCACTTTACTGCCGTGCCGTGTCTGCTGATGCCTCGCAAATAAGCCACTGTGGTTTACCGGAAACCCAGACCACGTACCGCACTACCTGCATCGGCTCAACGGATTCGCCTTTGCGAAGGCATGTCTGCCCAGTGGGTTCTTTGGAATTTGGGAGGCCGTGAATAGCATACGGCCACACAAACGTCAACACAGACTGGCGTATCACACGGGCTCGTGTTCACAAGTCCCCAGGTCGGATCAGCCGATTCCGCCGTGCCAATGGATGCCTGGTGATGCCGGTTCCTGGAAGGTACCGGTTTGCGGGACTTCTAGATTCTAGACCACGTACCACCATATCCGCCGCATGGGCTTGCGCTCACGGGCCCCCCCCGCCTGATCGGCCGATTCCTTCCCACACCGTCGGGTTTGCCAGATCATCTTTAACGAAACCTCACAGGCGTGTCTGCCCACTGGGTTCCGTGGAGAGCGGTCGTAGCATACGTCAACACAACCTGTCCTATCCCCGGCCGTCTGAGCAGCGGATTTCTCTCCACCCTTGCCTTTGCGAAAGCCGTCCCCAAACATGTACGCTCCTATGCACACACTTGCACTCAGAGTCGTGTCTGCCCAGTGGGTTCCTTGCATGGGAGGCCATTACTATACTAGCATACGCGACCACGTACCGCCATATACTCAGGTGGGCTTGCACCGACAGCCTGCCCGTCTCATCAGCGGATTCCTTCCCACCCCGTGCCTTTGCGAAATCTGCTCCACACGTCGCTTCTATGCACGCACTGGCACTTACAGAGCCGTGTCTGCCCCATGGGTTTATTGGGAAGCCAACACTAGGCTAACTAGCCCCAACACTCCCACCCCCGCTTCGTGATGAGAGCGGTGTCCTTCCCACCCTTGCCTTTTTGCGAGACCTGACCGGTGCTCACGCACTTTACTGCCGTGCCGTGCCTGCTGATGCCTCGCAAAAAAGCCACTGTGGTTTGCCGGAAACTCAGACCACGTACCGCACTACCTGCATCGGCTCAACGGATCCAATCCCACGCTTGCCTTTGCGAATGCACGTCTCCCAGTGGGTTCTTTGGAACTTGGGAGGCCGTTCGTAGCATACGGCCACACAAACGTCAACACAGACTGGCATATCACACGGGCTCGTGTTCACAAGTCCCCACGTCCGATCAGCGGATTCCGCGGTGCCAATGGATGCCTGGTGATGCCGGTTCCTTGGGGAAGGTACCGGTTTGCGGACGTCTAGATTCTAGACCACGTACCACCATATCCGCATGGGCTTGCGCTCACGGGCC